ACATCATACATGTTAATAATACATGTTAAAAAAAAAAAAGTGGTTGCCAAAGTCCAATAAATCATAAAAGAAAGAATGAAAAAGGAAAGAAAATAAAATGAAGCAAGGTCCATGAGATTGAAGAGATCTTCACATAATGAAAAATGATGAAAAACATGGTGAAAGAATGCTTGAACCTCATAAATTGCATCATTTAATGCATTCCATTCTTATTATTGTACTCACTCACTCAAAAGAACTCCCTTATCTTGAAAAACTCACTTGAGCTTTTGACCCTCCTTGATCAAAATTGAACCTAACCTAATCCATTTATGACCAACAAAGTCCTTTTGATAGGTAAATCATTGTATTAAGGCAAAGGAAATTGAGAATATGGGCAAGCATATGGTAGGGTAGAGCAATTTGCATGTATTAAGGGAAAATACCTAGCCTGAAACACTGACGAGTGAAGAGTAAAACACCACCTTATGAGCTAGATAATTTCTTTGCATTGTGTGAAGTATAATGAACCTTGTTGAATTTTTGTTTCACTTGTATGGGACTTTGCATAAAATTAATTGATATGAGTGTGCTTTCTTTGTTGAATGACTCTATGATTTTGAAATGGAGGAAGTGTATGTTAGAGTTGAAAGATTGGAACAAAAAAAAAAAATTGAAGAAAAAAAAATTTGGATAAGTCCAACCCTTGTTACTTAAGTCCTTGAATTCTGGTTTGCTTGAGGACAAGCAAAAGTTTAAGTTTGGGGTTGTGATGAATCTACATTTTACTACATTTTTATACATCATTTATTACTTTTTATAGAAAAGAATAGACTTAGATAGTGTAAATAAGATGAATATTCCAATTAGGCTAAATAATATAGGTTTCTTAGTTTTTTGTTAATTTACATGAATTTAGATAGTTTATTTTACATATTTTGATCATTTGAATAATATGGCAGGAATCCCCAAGCTTATTTTGAAGAATTATTGGATTTTGAGGAATTTGAGGTAAAAGTAACTACTTTCAATATTGATAGTGACAACTACAGCAAGTCACTTCCAGCAAAGGGACCAAAGTGATCACTTCCAAAGCTTAAAGTGACAACTACAGCAGCCCAGAATCAACCAAACCTGCGCGTGGTTACTATGAATATTCATAGTAATCACTCCAGAGCATGCAAAAATTGAAGGTGCTGCGCGTAACTACTATGAATATTCATAGTAATCACTCCAGAGACCCAAAATGTCCCAGTGCTGCGCGTAACTACTATGAATATTCATAGTAATCACTCCAGAGAGGAAAAATCCAACTGATGCTGCGCGTGGTTACTATGAAAGAATGAGAGTAATTACTTTGGGCGGCGCCAGCTTTAGTATAAATAGATTTTTACCAAATTAGGGTAGGGAGTTCTTACACTTTTTGTACCTTTTCTCTTCTTTACTAAATTTAGGACACTTGGAGAGCCTAGGGTGGCCTTGGGTGACAGCCAAGGGTCCAACCTAGGGTTTGATTTCCATTTTCTCCTTACTTCTCTTTGATTTTTGTATTGATGTTATTGATTTCTCTTTACTTTCATTTTGCAATTGTGAGACCCATCCTCATGAAGGGTTAATTTTCTTGTAATCTCTAGTGAGTTCATATGAATTCTTGAATTCTTGTTTTTTGAATGTTAATGTAAATCTTTTTCTTCCATGAATTTCTTCCTCCCAAACTCCTGAATTGAATTAATGGTTGAATGAGGGGAGCATTGCGTAATGAACCCTAATTCGTTTTAAGGAAATTCTAAATTTGAATTGCTTAATTCTTGTTTAATTCCAAGATTGCGTAATCAAGGAATGAGAGATTGGAGTTCATTGGATTGCTTAATTCATATGAAAACATAAGGTTGATTTTCGCTTGTTAAATCAACCTAACTCTAGGAGGAGAGGAAGAGTATTAAATCTTGAGGGGAATAGGGATAGAGTTTATATGAATGAACTAGGGGTTACTACATTTTATCGATTGAACTTTGCAATTTAATTTTCTACTTAAGTTGATTGAACTTGAAATCACAAAACCCCCCCTTTTTTTTACTTGCTTTCTAAATACATTGCACACTACATGTTTGATATTTGGTCACTTGTCCAATGATTCATGGGAGACGACCTAGGCTTGCATCCTAGACTACATAAATTTTTCTGCATATTTTGATGAAGGTTCACGACAAATCTTTTTGCAAATGAGAAAATATTTCGTTCATCATATATATTCCAATGGTTTTCTTTGTTGATCATGATAGCCTTCTGTCTATCTTAGGCGGTCTTTATTTTTACTCTAATCATCTTCACTTGGTCATTTTGTTTCTGCACTATATCAGGCGCATACAGAATTGTTTCTCTAGCTTCATACCAACATAGAAAAGTTTGACACTTCCTTCCGTATAATGCTCATATGGTGTCATTCCGATGCTTGCATGATAACTATTATTGTACATGAATTATTCCAAAGGTGGACATTCATCCCACACATCTTGTTGCTCCATCACACAAGCTCGCAATAAATCCACCAATGATTGAATAGTGCGCTTCGTCTGTCCAACAGTTTGAGGATGATATGATGAGTTAAGCTTTAACTTAATTCCCAAGGCCTTTTGCAGACTCTTCTAGAACTTTAATGTAAATTTTGAGTCTCGATCTGACATAATGCTTAAAAGTATCCCATGCAACCTCACTATCTCATTGATGAACACTTTTGCTAACTTCTCCAGTATATACCTCATGTTAATCGGAATGAAACATGCAATCTTTGTTAAGCGGTCTACAATTACGTGATTTCTCTTTGTTATTGGCAGTATAGATACAAAGTCCATGGAGATACTATCCCATTTCTATTCAGGAATGTCCAATGGTTGTAACATACTCAACTATCTCTTTCTTCATGCCGTACCACTAGAGATTTCTTCGCAAATCCTGATACATTTTCATTGCTTCAAGATGGAAACTTAGCTTACTTTTGTGTGTCTCTTCCAATATCATTTGCTTCAGTTCTTCATTTTGAGAAACGCATACTCTGTCTTTGAATCTTATGAGTCCATTTGAGTTGCGAGAAAACTCTGAGCCCTTACTCTCATTTTTTGGCTGCACCCTATCTTACAAATATTAATCATCTAATTGAGCATTCTGGACTTGCATGAACAAATCATTGTTAACTTTCAAAGTACCCATATATAAGCTTTTGGGTCGCACTTCTACCATCAAATTCAAGTCTCTAAACTCTTTGATCAACTTCCATTATTTTATCATCATGGTTAAAATATGTAAGGATTTCCTACTCAGCACGTCTGCTACAACGTTTGCCCTTTTGGGACGATCAGATAACGTGAAGTCATAATCTTTGAGAAACTCTATCCATCGCCTCTGTCTCATGCTTAACTCTTTCTAATCAAACAAATATTTTAAACTCTTGTGATCACTAAATACTTCAAATCTCGATCCAAATAGGTAATGCCTCCAGATTTTTAATGCAAATACTACTGCTGCTAATTCCAAATCATGTGTAAGGTAGTTGACTTCATGAGGTCAAAGTTGTCTTGAAGCATAGGCAACTACTCTCCCAGATTACATTAGAACACTTCTTAATCCTTGTCGTGAAGCATCACAATACACTTCAAACTTTTGTTTTGGATCTGGCAATATCAACACTGTGGCTGATGTTAACTTTTCTTTTAAATTCTGAAAATTAGCTTCACATTCTTCATTCCACTCAAAGTCTTTTTCCTTCCTCGTCAATTTCGTTAAAGGTAGTGCTATTTTAGAAAATCCCTCAATAAATTTTCTATAATAGTCAATTAGTCCAAGGAAACTTGTAATTTCAATTGGAGTTGTAGGTCTCCACCATTGAGCTACCACTTCTACTTTTGCTGAGTCGACCATAATTTCTTCCTTTGACACAACATGTCTTAAGAACTGTATTTATGGAAGCCAAAATTCACACTTTGCCAATTTTGACAACCATATCGTAATAGTTTCAAACAAAACTAGATTTCTAAAACAATTTTGCAATATAGGGAGCAAACCTAGGTCATCTCACAAGGACACAAATTCATTCTGTTTCTAGTTTTAAGCATGCAACAGTGTTAGATTGGGGGTTTTTTGGTTTTTAAGAATTTAAACAGAAACATAAAATTGGCAACAGCAGATTGAATTAAAAATGGATCTAAAAATAGAATTAAAAATAGACCTAAAATCGGAATTAAAAACAGATCTAAAAATGAAAACAAATTTAAAAACAAAAACAAATTTAATTTAACCCAGAAAACAAAAAGAATTGAAAACAAAAACAAATTAAAAATGAAATGAATTAGAAAACGAATTGGAAAACGAATTAAATCAATAAGTTGGAACTCAAAAACGAATTGAAAATGAAAATGATTCAGATTAAAACCAACGCAGATTAATTAAAACGAATGCAATAACGCAAAGGAACACAAATTAAAATCACAAAGCGAATTAAAACCAGATAATAAAAAATGAATTGAAAGCAAAACGGAAGGCAAAAATAATGTAATTAATGAACGCAAATTAAAACTACGAATCACAGGCACGAACTAAGATTACTATACCAAGTTTATCTAAATCTCAAACGCAAAAGAAATCAATCGATCGCTATTACACTAAAAAATAAAATCAAATTGAATCAAATTATGCATGCACAAATCTTAATCAAGAATTGCGAGAAGGTAAAAAGACAAACTCGGAGTGATCAATAGATCTTGTAATCCACGCTTGAGACGAGATGATTCGCGAGAAAAGAATAATTGAGAACTGTAGCAAAATCACAAATTAAATTTGTTGTAGAATCTAAAATGAGGCAATAATGGTAATGAAAAAGGTTCACTCTCAAAAACGAGAAAAAAAGTCTTTATGTAACGCCCTATATTTCTTTCCTTAATATATGATAAACTTTTATAAAAATTTAAATGGTAAAGTAAATTTTCTTTCAAAAACTCTATAATGAGAAAGAAACAATGAAATGATATAAGGTTCATAGAGTAAAATTTCATTAATTCGTAAGTACTTTAGAAAAACAAAGATTATAAAATTTTCATCAGCAACAAAAGAAATAGTACTTTTACAACTGTTTCAAAAGAATGTTATAGAACTGAAAATATCTATTACATAACTCAAAATAACTAGGTCCTATAGCAGTTCTCATCCATCCATGCATTGTGAGCCTGGTACTAGACGTCTCGATTTCCTGAAAATGTTGTGTAAGGGTGAGTCTCTACCCTACCACTCATACATAACACATATTCATCATAAAACACATCTTATCACAATTAAAGAAAATATCATGGTATTACACATCACAGTGTCATATAAAGCAAGTTCTCATATCAATACAAACACATTATATTCCACAAATTCACAATTTCTTTTTCTTTTACCAGTGCTTACCACACCCTGTGGCTATAGTTATCCAATGCCTCTATCTTGAGATCTTACACATCTATGTAAATAGTCACCGGATGGCCTAATTCAGTACAGATAAAACGCATGCAATAGACAGCGCCTTAGGAAAGATAATGGTCAGGAGTCAAGTCAGGAAATGAGTGTTCGGTCATGTGGTGCATTCGTACATAATATTCCATGCACAATCCCGAATGTCACTCAACACCCTACATTTCTCCAAGATATCCCATATCGTCTCCATCTTCCACTCCCCCAATGTATATCTGTAACTATTTACATCATATCATTTTTCATCTCATACTCTTTCAAGTATATTCACATGTTTACATATGTCATTTCTCATGTTCACACATATTTTTCATTATATTTCCACCTGCTTTTCATCATATACATCAAACCATCGCATATTCACAATATACATCATTTTTACATGAAACACAATTCAAACATGAAACATACATCTCTTTGTATATTTCATATCACAAAATCATAAAATCATATCAATCATCATCAATATACCTTATCATGCACTATTTAAACATATCACATTTTCACCATGTATTCATCATAAAATCACATAAATAACTAATTATTTTTCATAAAACAAGGATTATTCCACATATAATCACATATATGACAAGTTCTATAAGAATACAAGTAATAAACATAACAAAATGATAAAGTAGAGCCCCTTTACCTCAAAACAGAGCTTTTACAAAGATTCAACCAAAGATTTAACTCTAGAACGGAGTTTTTCCTAAGAACACCATGAACATCTATAAGAAAAAGAAAAAGAAGAGAAACGAACGGTAAATCTAACTTCAAACTTAGAGAAACTTACTTGAAATCCTTTAGAACGGACGTAGAATCATATATTTGAAGAGAAATCTAAGTTTATAAGAGTTTAGTATGAGAGAAAATGACGAGATATAGCCTTATAACCTTTGAGAATCTTGGCTAGGAGTGAAGAGATGAAAATTTCGTGTAAAACTCCCTTTTTATAGAAAGTTTTTAAAATTTACTATTCATCATCGGAATTATTGTTCATCGCTAGAAACATTGTTCACTGCCTTACTATTTATGCCAGAAATACTGTAGACGCGTACTGTAAATAGTTATACGTGTACGTAACGTCACCGCTGATGATGTCATCATTTTTTAAAAATTTTTGTTTTTAAAATATAAATTTTATCCAAATATATTGCAATTATAATTTAATTAATCTCATTTTATTTAAATTAAAGTGCAGAATGTTACACTTTATAAAAAAACAAAATTATGAAAAGGAGGAGGTGAAAAATCAACCTTTTGACCCCTACATATATTGGTCTCTAAATGAAAACAAAAATAAATGGGCCAAGGCTGCCTAAAGTGATTAAAATAAAAGCCCTAAATAAAAATCCTAAATATAAGATGTGTGTTTTAAGTCTGAACTTAAAAAATTAATAAAAAAAAAATAGCTCTGAACTCTAAACAACACAATCCATATGTCCAAATTGAAGCCTAGGAAGTGAGGAATCCATTGCAAAAAGAATCAGCCAAAAAGGATATTTACAGAAAAAGTTATGGCCAAAACAGTAGACAAAGGTCAGAATAGCAAAAATATGAAATATAAAGTAAAGATAATAAGTAATTTAATGCAAGAAATGCAAAAACATGCTAAATGAAATAAATAAAGAAGGAAAGATATTTTGAAAGATGCAATAAGACTATAAATGTGAGTACAAAATGTGAATCATCATTCCTTCCTTTGACACAACATGTCCCATGAACTGTATTTGTGAAAGCCAAAATTCACACTTTGATAATTTTACATACAACTGCTTTTCACTCAGTATTCGCAAGACGATTTTTAAGTGCTCAGCATGCTCCTTATGACTCTTAGAATAGATTAGAATATCATCAATAAACACTACTAAAAATTGATACAAATTTCTCTTTTTGGTGGCAATTTTGTTACATTTTCTAGAAAAACTTTCAAAAAATCTCGTACTACTGGGATATACTCAGCTTTCACGATCTTATCAATCTCAGCAGAGAACAATACCATGAAAGCCTTAGTTTTAACCGTGCTTCTTGCTTCACCCATACTTAGAAGTCTAGAGTTTCTCAGTGTATCATCACCAAAGATTAAAGCTTTTTCCTTACAATCTAACAGAACACGATTGGATGACAACCAATCCATGCCCAAAATAATATCAAGTTTGTAGAGCGGTAAACAAATTAAGTCTATATAGAAATTCCTACCATGAACCATTATAGAACAGCCTAAGCATACAGAAGAGGTTATAATAGGCTTAGTTGTAGGAGTGGACACAATAACATTATATGGCAGGGAAGATATTAGTAACCTAACATAGCTCACACAGTCCATAAAAATAAAAGAATGTGTGGCACCAAAATTAAACGATACATCACAGAGTCTATCATTAATTATGCATTTATCTCTAATCAGTTCATTAAACTTGGACGCCTCAGATCCACTCATGGCAAAAACCTTGCCTTACACATTCAGTTTCGCTCCACTACTTGCTCTAGATGCATGTCTGTTGCTTCCACTTGCACTTCCACTCTATTGAGGAGCTAACCAACAGTTAATCGCTGAGTGCCCAGTCTTCCCACAAATACTACAAGCCGATGGTGGCTGTGAGCAATTCATCACTAGATGGGGTCCTCCACATTTAAAGCATCTCAGCGGTTCTCTTAAAATGTTAGAACCACTGGTACTACCTCCATGGAATGCAGTCCCTCTTGACTGAGACTGATTAACACCAGAGTAAGGTCCTCTAGGAAACCTTGGAGGCCTTCAGTACTGTCTCACCAATCCTCCAATCCAACTATCTATAATCTTGCCCTTGAAATTGGCTTCAAAGATTTGGCATTTACTGACTAATGTTGGCAAATCAATCAACTAGAATATACTGACTGCGGCTCGTATCTCAGGCCTCAGCCCATTCTCAAACTAGGCGCATAGATCTTCATCTTCATCCTCATGTTGGAAATGAGGCCAATACTTCAGAAGCTCATGGAATTTCGCAACATATTCTCCCACAGACATATTTCCTTGCTTCAGCTCAAAGAATTCTCAGACCTTTTGTTTCTTTAAATCCCTTGGGAAATAATTTCCCAAGAAACATGCCTTGAAAGCTTCTCAATGAATGTATCCTTCTTCTTGTGCCAGAGTCTGACTAGCAAACCTCCACTAGTCCTCCGCTTTTCCTCCCAACATATAAGTGTTATGCACCACCTTGTGCTCCTCACGACATCCCATCGCATTAAAGACTTTCTCTATATCAGCTATCCACTTCTAGGCTCCTTCTGGGTCAAACTTTCCTTCGCACTTCAGAGGGTTATGTTTCGTGAATGATGAAAGTCTATGATACTCCGCTGACTCTGCATCTTGGTTATGCACCAAGGTTCCCAAGACTTGCGTCATGTGGGCCAAAATCTCATTCGTAGCACCAGCAGGTCTACCTCTACTAGCCATAGTTTTAATTTTAGAAAAATCAAATTTCACATATCATCTTTCATTCTAACACATTTCACATTTAGCTCAAACCATACAAACATTTCCAACATCTCAAGCAAGTCAAACAATTTACAACCACTAGGATGTATTAACAAACAATTCTTAAATAATAACACACAACACACTGCATCGATGAACTAGTTACATACCCTAAACTGGTTTAGAAGAACTGCTCTGATACCAAATTGTAATATCCTAAAATTTTAAAATATGAAAACTGCATTCTTTATTATCAATAAGGATAAAAATTCTATTTTTGCATACAATAAATCTTATTATAAAAGGTTAATGAAAGTTACTTTATAAATAGGTTTGTTGTAAAAAAAAAAAAGATTCCCTTGGAAGCAATAATACATTTAAAGACTGCAATAAACCATAATCAAATTTTCAATTTGAGAAGCTGAACATGCATTCCATATCTCAAGTATAATAATTTACAAATTATTTGTCAGAATCTATAGGACTTAAAATAATATTTACATAATCAAAATAATTACAACATATATGAAAATTTAAGTCCTAGAGCAGTCCCCAAAATACATCCCAACCCTGAGAACCCAGTACTAGTCGATTCTATGTCAGCTCTCTATCTTTGCTAGATCTTTCGAATCAAGGTCATTGTTTGATCTAAAGTAACGATCGTCTGAATTAGCTGTGACCTTTTTGTCAATCACTCGCTCAAAGGTCCATCTGGACAATCTTCCGATATGGTCATGGTCGTGATATGTAAATAGGTATATGAGGACTGCTGGAGTTCTAACAATACCAATATAGATATAGATACATAGGGTCTTATATATTCTACTCTTAGGAAAATCAAAAGGGATACTATAAAAGAAATTCATCTCTAACATAATAAAGGTCCTAGGTACATCTTTAACAAGAACAACAAACTTAAAGTAACATAATCTTTTATATTCATTAAATACATTATTAAGCCTATTATATACTAAGCTATCTATTAACCTAACTATTTTCTGAGACTCCGTCATCTTGTATTCCTAAAAATATTAGTAAGGATAAGCATCTATTCTATCATTTATAAATCATTACATTACAAAAACATAACCTTTAATATAAAGAAAATATTTCACTTTTCACATCTATTTATATTGCAAACACATTCACATCTGCACAACACAGTAATTTATTATACATTATCAATTCTCTCATTTCAATACGTACTCCCATTGTACTATGATCACAAATATCAATGTCTTTAACATTTCTTGAGGTCTTACTTAACTAAGTAAATAGTCGTCGATTAGCCCATGATACGGATATAATGTATACAATAATCGGGCCCCTAGGAAAGGCATAATTAAGAGTCTAGTCAGGAAATGAGTGTGAGACCAAGTGGCACATTCACTCTAAAAAAGAGTGTATACACATACACGAATGTCGCTTACCACCTACATTTCTCTCAGATTTCTCATCGTCTCCAAACTCTATACCCCCAGTGTATCTCTATAACTATTCACACTAGATTCAATCCATATTCGACACTTAAAGTCATTCTTAGAGTTATTCTTTTTCCCACTCACAAGATCGTGCTTAGTAAAGCACTTTCAGACTAAATCCATTTCACTCATACCATTTTTAATATAGTTTCAATTACTAAATCCTTCAAACCAGTATCACACTCTATCATAATATTTCATCCAAGCATATTTTATAAAATCACATCATAATCACTCAGCAAGTTTAATAATATTCCACATTGAATACTTATCATATAATGCATATAAGCATGTAATAACTAATCAGTCCAAACAATCAAAGAAGCATATTTTCAACTATTATTCACACAATATATTTTTCAACCACATTTTTTCATGAAATATCCATGTAACAGTACTCTAATGAGCACAAAATAAATATTGTAATATAATGACAAAATAGAGTCCACCTTACCTCAAAGACGAGTTTAGTGTAGAAAAGGGTGAAAAAGATGGTTCACGCACCAAGGTCGTTCTACACCTTACAGAAAAGAGAGTGCTCTTTGAAAAAAAAAAAAAAGGAAACAGAGAAGATAAAAGTGAAAACAAGGAGTTCGAGCTCTGAGATACTAACCAATGTTTCCGTTTAGTCAAAGTTCGAGCTCTGATTCTGAGTAGTTTTGAAGTTTTTAAGGCTTGTCTCTGGAGAAAAGAAAAGAAAGTTCAGAGAAAACAAGATAGGAACGTGAGTTTGGAATGAAACGAAATTTTCATGCTAGAAGTCTCTTAAATACCCATCAGCCTCGCATGCTCTTGCTTGAGTGACGAATATCTCACCTGAGCAAGATATGCAAACAGTGGTCTCGCCCAACATTTCTTGATATGCTCGCTTAAGCGAGCTCCATCTCGCCTGGGCGAGATGACGTCCAGAGAGCAAGATGTTTTCCTGTGAGTCCTCACCTGAGCGAGATCACTTTCGCTTAGGCAAGGTGACAATTGAGCTGAATTTATCCTATCTTGTTTGAGCGAGATTGCCCTAAAAAATAGTATTTCTAGCTACTCAATCTTACTTGAGCGAGATTTGTCTTGCTTGAGTGAGACCTCTTGCATCTGAATCCTTCTAATAATCCTCTATACTCACTTTTAAAAGTATTATAATACTGTTTAATGTCAAACAAAACATAATTTACGAAATAATGAAAAAGAGAGTGTTACAATCAATACTTTTTCAACGAATCAAGTGTCTGAAAGATGCTCGTAATTTAAGATTGTTTTTTCATTTATTTTATTCTTTAAAAATATGGCAAATGATAACTAGTGCTCTGAAGGCATTGGATAAAGGACAAAAAGTAAAAACTTTTTATTAAAAAAAAAATATTTATATATTGAAAGCACAAATAATTTGGAACTTGTTTTTTAAGTAATTACACCTAATAAAGTGTGTATAATGTTCCTATGGCACTTGTCAGCAAGACTCTAGGAAACACAGTTCTACTTACCATCTTTGCTTGAACTATGCTCCATGTCAATCTGATCTTGCCATGACCGCTTTATATTAGATGAGGAACACTGTTATGGGACAGAAAATGAATAAGTGCTTGAACTCTGGATCTTGCAAGAAGATTCAGCCGTGGAGGACCCATCTTGATCAATGCTTGACACTCCAGTATCCATGCTAAGATGCCGTGAATTGTCCTGCTTCTGCTCCACTTCTGCCATACATTTTAATCTCTTCCTGTTAGGAGGATCACTCTGTGGATTCTGAAGTGTTGGAACCTTCTGATCAGTGGATGAAGAAGTGGCACGAGGAGCTTTGTCCTTCAAGAAAACTTTTGGAACGGCCAAACTTTCACTTTCATCAACAACTTCATGTCTCACTTCTGAGCAAGATGCTTTTGCAGTTACCTCATATTCCCACATCTTGAATATGGCTTCAGTCAGTTGTTCTCTTGCTGAATCAATTTCAACGACTGGTTTGGGATAGTTCTGACCCAGCTCTACTCCTGATGCTCTTAGCACGGCCAGTGGTGCATCCCAAGGATGATGAATCCACTCAGCTGGCATTCTTGCCAACTCAGGTATCCATTGACGTACATACTCACCTTCTGGATCAAATTTGACCCCTTGAATCTGTTAGATCATAAAAAAAAAGTTCCGCACTGGTGGTTTAGCAACCAATTTAAGGCTATATAAGCAAGATGATAAGTCTAAATTGCTAAGGCTTCATGGATAAATAGGCTACTCATGGTTACTTAAAGCCCAATTTATTCCCCAATCTTGGACTGGGTACGCACTCAAAATTCTAATAGAATTTGTTCCCAGAAGTGAGAAAAAATTTGAGGTGTCTGCTCTAATTTGTCAGGATTTTTCCTATGTTACGAATGTGTAGTATATATACACACTTTATTGTATACAATTTGGCCAAAAGAGGAACTAGTTAGATATATTAATATATAACCGTTCATGGTCTTTCACCTGACAGGTTAAGCTTTTGGAATAGTTGGTTCATGACATACTTAGAGCCTCCATAATCAAGTTGTCTACAATTAGAATTTGAACCAACATACCGGCATGAACAATCACCTCAAATTAATTACGTCATGTAGAAATGAGATATAATCACCTAAAAAATTCGTAAGAAAAATACTAAAAGATGATTTTTTCCGGATAAGAAAATATCAAAAGCAAATCTTTAAATTTTCAAATGCCACAAAGATAACAAAAATCTTGGAAGCAATCTGTGGTTAAGCACAAAGTTGATTTCTTACTACTAGGTTTAGTCTTAGAAACTCCTCAGATTTTGAAAGTTAACGCATGAGGAAGTAAAGAAAACAAAATAAACAGAAAAAGGAATTTTAAGATCAGCAAAATAAATACAACAGCAGATTCTTACGTGTCACAAAAATTATGCAGATCACAAAAGCTTGAAAAATTTAAAAGAAAATATGAATGTTATATAAGCCTTTAAATGCAAGAAAACATTTCAAACCTGAGGATCGTCCAAGCGCTCAAGCTTGTGGCCATCAGGTAAGCATCCTGAGATATACTGCCAACCCAAGATGTCACTTTCAAGATCTGCATCCAAAAGTGTGTCCCAGAAATATTTCATTCCCCATTTCCATGGTATAAGCAACATTTTAACAGCAAAACTAGAAACTATGACTCTTATTTTGTTGTGTATCCATCCTGTTGCCCATAGTTCTCTCATTCCTGCATCAACCAAAGGATACCCAGTCCTACCCAGTCTCCAAGCCTTGAAGTTGGTAGCATCATCATTCCATGGAAAATATCTCAAGTTCCCAAGCAGTGGCCTCTCTAAGGTGAATGGGAAATTGAAACAAAGATAGCGTGAGTACTCTCTAAGTCCAATGGCCCTCAGAAAAAGTGTTGCACTCTCTTCACCACCACTGTTTCCTTCATTTGCCCATAATATCTGCTTTGAACGTGCCAACTGAAAAACCTTCCTCACACTCAATTCTCCAAAATGAATATATGGAGACAAGAGTGAGGTGGAGTCACCACCAACTGTTAGCCTATTCTTGGAGTAGTGAAGTAGGTGGTGTTCAACAAATTCTGTTAAAGCCTTATCGCTTTTGTTCCAACCTGGACACCATGCCCTTCCTAATAATGCATTGCTCGCCTTTTCTGATTCATCTTCAAGGCCTAATTGTTCAATTGAATATTTCACAACTTTTCCTGTCATAAACAGAAGAAAAACAAAATTCTCATCTCAACAATCTCTGATGGATGGTTTCGTGAGAAACGTTAAAGTATTTGTATTTCACGTCTTATTTGTGTCAGATATGGACACTCATAAAATACACTTGCGTCCGGATCCTAGATATATCCATTACTATTTACTTATTAGTGATAAAGTTTGTATTTTATAGAATTTGTTGGAATATTTCGTTATTTTTAGGGATTTTATTTTTTTTTAAATTGTCATCTAACTAAGATTTGATCAAGGTTATCATAAAATAATATTTTTGAAAATTTTCGTTTTAGCTTATCATATTGTATCGTACCCAATCCTCGTACCTGTAACAGTGCAACATAGATGCCAATTTGTAGACATGATGGTATAACAACATAAGAGCATGGTCACATATAGCTTCCAGTTGCCACAATAATACAGTCCAGAAAAGCTAGACCCTTTTCCTAGTTAATATACCATAAGCATTGTTTCTATTTGCTTAAATTCTCATTTGTTTTAGTGTGTCTCTAAAACTCCAGTAAAAACCTGATGTCAATCATCACATTATTAAGACAATCAAATTATAGTAGCTTGCATATAACCTTACCCTCAGCTAGAATTAATTGACATGGAGGAATAGGTGAAAAATGTTTCATTTGAATATGCAGGCATCTGTTCCAAAACGGATCAAATGTTGTAAAAGCATGTCCGCTCTCATCATATATATCCCATGGCTCAAACAACAGATCCCCATTGTAGCTTTGAACAGATACACCAAGTTCCACTAGTTTTACTTTGATGTCGTGATCACGAACAAGTGAAACTGGATCTGACAAATGATTAGATAAGTATATCAGAATTATTTGTGATACGTCTGAAGCACACGTGTCAATGTTTTCACCATTATATAAAGTGTCAAAAAAAATAAAGCAATTAAAATGTTTTCTATGTTGTATTGAAGATCAAACTCCTATCTTTCATGCTTATACACTTTTAGGTACAGGGAAGAGTACGTAACTACATTGAATAATTATACTGATACACAGCACAAAGTAGTAAGGACTGAGGATTCCAAGAATGCATTCAACATATATAAACTAATAAGAATTTCTGTTTCTGTCTCAACAAATGTTATCCTGCTATATGATTGTTAAATAAGTGTTCTGGTTCTAAAAGAAGGAAGTGTTTTTTCTTTCTCACTGAAGTAGTATTAACAAAAAGTATTCTTCACTTACAATAATAAATGATTAAAGATGAAATAGACAACACAGATATTTTAAGCATGCAAATAATGTTTGCTACAAGCATATACATCTTGCAAGTATTCGTATCTCAAAGAAAAAGCTAAGGTTCTTACATACAATCTATTATATATGTACTTTTACTTTATGCACAGTAAGGAACTAATCTGGCATCTAGAGAAACACACCATTTGTCTCAAAATTGGAAAAATATGCATTGTTTGACATGTAGATAAACAATACTGTAAAATTGGGGAGGGATTTTGTATTTTGTCAAATCAAATGTGTAATCGGATAATTCTCCACTTCAACCATATAGTTTCAAATTGTAAAGCGAAACGTGATTTTGTTTTAATTTTAGCAACCCAGTAGTTTTCGGTTCTTCTACTTTTAAGTCTTGAACATGCAAAGCAAGGTTTCCACCTTGGTAGTGTAGCCCATGAATCAGATTCCTGACTGAAACTCACTACTTTGGAAAAAAACAAAATAGAATTATTTAATAGGAGGAGGCTTGGCACAAATAGTAAGGTTGGTTTCTAGTCGAATCCCTCTTGTTGCATATACTTGATCATGCCCAGACCCCACAATGGTGGGAGCCAAGTGCACTAGGCTTAATATATAGAAGACAAAGCAAACAGTCAAAAGAAATCCCACCTTGACACTAAGTTCTGAGTTTCATCTAATTTAATAACGGAAACTCATTTGCTTCCTCAACATTCGGAGTTCTAAACTTTTGAACAGTACGGAAATATATAATAGTAGGAAGCAACACAAATTTGGATACAAGGGTGTATCTAAATACAGAGTTTAATTATGAGTGTATTCAATAAGTTCTTTTAAACGATGGTTTTGTCATAATTTTAATCATAGAATTTTTTAGTATAAGCTGAAAACAACTTATTTTGATAAGCGAGAAGATTATTGAAATAAACTGAAACCAACTTACGGAAGGTCTTTCTATAATTTGTTTCTAAGATCTTTCAAACAGGCTCTAAAGTTAATTCTATAAAAAGCTACCTTTTGGACAGCAGCACTTACCATACAGATGGTTAAACACTACTTTTTTTGCTTGGATTGCATTTATACATTCCAAAAGCGCCTCGAGAGTACTGTTAGTTTTGATGAGCACAAGTTCAGCTCCAAGTGATTTCAGTGACTTATCCAACTGAGCAAGAGAATGCTTCAGCCACCACCTTGACACCCTTCCCGGATGAAACTGTCCTTCCTCTTTGGGGCACCAAATATAGACAGGGAAAACAGAACCATCCTTGGCAGCAGCGGCTAATGCAGGATTGTCTTCAATTCTAAGGTCTCTCCTAAACCAAACAATAGTCTTGTTTATACCCATAGGATAGTTGAGAATTCTCATGCCACGGCCAAAGCCTTAACACTCATCATGCTATTAGTAGGTTCTACTCAAGCTTCCTTTTACACACAAACAAGCACAGTTCCCACCTTCAAAATTTTATTGTTTTCCTATAAAAGATTCAACCAACACACTGCAAAGAAGCAGAAGACCCTGGCACAGGCTACCAAATTTTTGGAGGTGGAATTTGTCAAGAACATAAAGCTGTTTATGGCTGCACCAAATAGCCTCAAATCACTGTCAAAATAGACGTAATTGTTAGATATGAGACCATCAAGTAGATTATCTTATCTGAACCTCCAATTCCAACTTTTCTGCCCCTTTGTTTTCTAAATGGTATGCAACCTAAATCCAACTCACAGAAACCGTTCCCCACATGTCTCACTCATCAATCTAAACCCCACCAATGAAAAGCACATATAAATAGGATATCTCTGCTTCGCGGCACCTTTCACCTCAAAAACAACAAAACAAACTGTATATCCTCGAACACTACCCATGAGCTAGATATTCAATACTATAACTGAAACAAATCCTTAGAGACAAAAAAAACATGACTTATCTCGAACTTATCGAGGAACGTATCAAACACTACCTATGAGCTAGATATTCAATATTCACCCACCCATCTTGAAGTTTGAGCTGAAGAGTCAAGCAAGGACCAAATCAAATTTAATTTAGTGTAAAATTTATACAGGCTTAGTTGTTATCCTAAAGTGTTATTAATGTTCATTGATTGGCATTAAAAGTCAGAAGTTATGGAATTCTGAAATTGTCTCTTTCCAAGAATTGTAAGGTGAGGAGCCCACTGATCTTTAAAGTGTATGGATCACGTGGGGGTCTTATCACACATCACACTGCTGAGAATGGGTAGCAGACACAACACACACGTAATTTCCTACGTTGACTGTGGCAAAAGAATAACATAAGTAGAGACTAGAGAGACATACCAGCTACTTCCTTTAATTTCTTGTGCTTCGCAGTTTATGGTCTCAAATGCTGTCCATTTTTTTTAATGTAACGATAATTGAGATATTATTATATGCTTAAATATATATTTCTAGTAGTTAAAAAAAAAATAAAAAATTATTTTAGTTTTTATAAGAATTTAATTTAATTTTTATAACTAAAAATAATAGAAAAACATGTAATTGTTTTAGTCCTTGAGAAAAGTAATAGCATATTTATTGTAAATTTAGTCCATGTTTGAAAAAACATCGCACCATAAAATTATTTTGAGCCACATATTTTGAACATTATTTTCACCACCAATTCTTTTGTTTGTACATTCACTTCGTATATTTATTATTTAGTATGCAAGGTATTTTATTTTAAATTAAATTAATATATTTTAATAATTAAAAAATAAATTTTTTTAAACAATTATATATATATATAATAAAATTATTTTAATTTAACTCTATAACAATAAAATATAAGATAATAAAGAATTTTTATAAATATAAACATAAATATTTACAAAATTTTTATATGTTTATATGGGTAATAAGAAAAATTAAGTAATAATTTTTATTTATAATTTTATAATAATCAACAAAAAAAAAGTTAAAGTTAAACTAGTTGCTAAAAGAGTATAATTTACACATAATTATCAGTCAATTTTAATCTTAAAAATACATGTGACTCACTATAAAAGTTACTAATTAAATATATTATTTTTATTTATAATACAAAGATTGATTGTTTGTTATTCTCTTCTTTCTATTTTTTTTATAGGCAAAACATATATTATTAGAGAGAGTTTAAGGGGAACTCAAAACCTATATACATAGAAAAAATTACTAACTCAGAGAAATGAAAAGCAAAAATATACTTACACAAAACTAAGGCGGACGTAATTTCGTAGATTCAAATACTAATCAGCTAACAAAATAGCTTCTCTCTTACTAACAAGTGATAGTCATTTTCAGGACCTAAGAAAAATAGAATTTAGAACTTCCCTCTCATCTAAAACACCATTGGAAAATACAATTCTATTTCTGTGTAACTACAAAAATCACATTGTACTTATCCAAACAATTAATAAGCATATCTCTTCTCTTTTACTACAGTCAACACCAACCCAAGAAAGCAAGTGAGTCGATATATCTGAAGGCAAAACCAGTTAGAATCCAAGCCAACGCGCAGTAAAGTATCAGATTTGAGATGAAACTGAACACGTTAAAAATAAATGAGTTGAAAGTTCCTCCAAACCATGACAAAAGTAACAAGTTATATCATCAATTTGAATACCTCGATCAATCAGCAAACTCTTACAAGGAAGTGCATTCAACAACAATTGCCAAGAAAATACCAGACACTTAAAAGGGACCTTCCCTTTCCATAGCCTTTGCAAGGCATCTGCCGTACACTGATCTACACTATTAGGATCACCAAAAAGTTCAAATAGTCATGAATACGCAGATTGTACTGAATAACAACCTGAAGAATCTGCTCTCCATACCCATTTATCTTCTTGTAGTAACTTAATAGAAACTCCATCCACAAGCTCCAACAAAAGATTAAAGCTTGAGATCTCATGTTGAAAGAGTCCTCTTCCCCAACTAACATCCTAAACCCACCTAGTTCCATCATGAAAACCATTCTCCAATACACATGATTCAGCATTCCTCGCCACTGCAAACAATCGCAGAAATGCTTCACACAATCGCACCCCGCCTACCCACTTATCTCTTTAAAAAAGAGTGTGTAAACCTACACCCACACTCCTATCAAACTTCTCATCCAGCCAAGAATTCTCTTGATGAATAACCTCCATCAAATCACGTCACCACAAAAACATCTGTTGTGGACTGATGGATGCTGAATAGAAGAAGCTAATCTTCCATACTTAGATTCCAACACCCACACCCACAATGAACTAGAACAATTAACACCTCACCACAACCATTTACCAAGAAGTGCCCAGTTAAACTACTGTACATTCTTAATGCCCAAGCCACTATTCTTCCGTGGTCTACATACCGCTTCCCATTTCACCTAAGAGATTTTAGATCCATCATTAACACTCTTCCATAAAAAATTCTGTTGGATAGTGACAATCTCCTTTATCACCGACTTCAGCACCTTAAAAAAGGATAACGAATGCAATAACATAGAATTAAGAACTACATTAATCAAAGTCACCTTGCCTCTAATCGATAAATACCTATGCTTCCATGATGTTAACCTCTTTTTAAGGGCATCTAACACACCCTTCTATGCACTAGGCTTTCTCGAGTTAACACCTAACTGTAACCCGAGATACTTTAATGGAAAACTATCAATCTTACAATGAAGGAACTCCGCAGCCAAGTTTTCAAAGTCATCACCAGTATTAATCCCTAATACACAAATTTTATGAAAGTTAATTTTCATACCTGACATTAATTCAAAGCTACGCAATACTGCCTTCAAAGTCCATAAGTTCTGAACCGAAGCCTCTCCCATAATCAATATGTCATCTGCAAACTGCAGCAAAGAAATATTCGGTCCCCCTATCCCAATCTTCACACCAGAGAATAACCCACAAACCACTTCCTTCAGCATAAGAACTCATAACCCTTCCGCTGCCACAAGAAAAAGAAAAGGGGCAAGAGGGTCCCCCTATTTTAGGCCCCGCTCAATATGAACCTCCAATGTATGATAACTATTAATCAAAGTTGATAGGCTACCCCCACACACACAAGCTTCCATCCAATTGACCCATTTTCCTGAAAATCCAAAGTTATGTAACGTAAACAAAAGATATTTCCACTCCACCAAATCATAAGCCTTCTCATAATCAAGCTTTAACACAAAACATCTTTTGTTATACCTCGGCACATAATCAATTGCTTCATTAGTCACAAGCACACTATCTAACATGTTCCTTCCCAGGATAGAGGCTGATTGTTCTTCTGAAATTATTGAATCTAAAACCCCTTTCAACCTATTTGTCAAAAGCTTGGAAATAATCTTATAAAGACAACCAAACAATGAGATAGGCCAAAAATCAGATATCTATTGTGGGTAAGACACTTTTGGCATAAGTGCTACAAAGTAGGATAACAAAGACCTAGGTAGTTTTCTATTTCTAAAAAATTCAGTAAACATACCTATCACTTCTTCCTTAATCACTCCCTAAAACCTCTTAAGGAACACAAAATTAAAACCATTAGGCCACAGACTTTTATCTCCCTCACACTCCAAAATCATCCTTCCCACTTAGGGATGAAAACAGGCCACGCCGCCTGAAAGGGGCCTGTGGCCTTGCCTGGTTTAGACCTGGCCTTTTTAATAAACAAACTAGGTTTAGGGTTTTTTTAAAGCCTGTTTAAGTAAATAAGCCAGGTCCGAGCTATTTATAAAGCCTGACAAGCTGGCCTGTATAAATAAATATATATATATATATATATATATAATATAATTTAAAAATAGAGCTGTCAAAATATATTTAAACAATTAAGTTATTTAATAATATATTTTTTATATTGATAATTCTGCTATTATTAAATTAATATATTATGTTATAATTTTATTTATTAATAATTATAATAAACATAAATTATATTTTATTAAAAATTAAAAATATTTATACATAATTACACTTTTCAAATAATAAATTTATTTAATAATAAATTATTATATTTATTTTATTTAAACAATTTAAAGAATAGTTAAGTCTTTGAACAGAAATAAGTATTTTAATTTAAATATAAATTTTAACAATTCTTTTTATACTCATATGTTATTTTTCTGCATCTATGAATTTTATAATATAAGTATTTTTTTATCTACAATTTTTATAATGTTAATATTTATTTACTTTTTAAAATATAATAATTTTTTTAGCTGATTCAATAAATTTTGTAAGTGTTATTTTTTGTTATCAATTTTATGTGTTTATTGTGATTTTATTTATGGAATATAAAATGTCTTTATACAAAAAAAATATAATTATCATAAAAAATAATTAAAATATTTAATAATTTTATAATTTTATAAATTAAATTGAGAAAAATAAAAATATAAAAATTTTATAATATGAAAATATTTATAATTAATGCTCAAATAATATTTTAAAAATTCTTTATAAAGTTGTATAAAAATTATTACAATTATTTAACAATTATCAATAACACAAATAAAAATTTGAATATATATATAAACTAATTTGATAATAAAATAATTATATTTTTATTAATATTATTCAATAACAACAATCATTATAAATTTTTAATATTATATAATTTTATTTTTTTAATCTTTTCTTAAGCAATTTTATTGGTATAAAATTTATAATAAAAAATTTCATTGATTGTATTTACTAAATCGCAACAAATCACAAACCTAGCACAGTCAGATACCTCGTGAACCAAAGCTGCTATCGCAATTATTTTTTATTCTTATTTTATTATTATCTATAGTTATTTTAAATATAAATATAAAGTAAATTATTATATTTGTTTGAACAAGCTGAAGAGTAGCAAAATCTTCAAAATAAGATTAGAACACAATCAAAATTAAATAAAATAATATTTAAAAATAAAATAATAATATTATATTAATTTATTTTTTATATTCTTAATTTTATTATTATTTATATTTAATTATTATATTAATATATTATGTTATAATTTTTTATTTATAATAAATAAAAATTATATTATATTCAAAATTAAAAATATTTATACAC